AATGAGCATCATAACAACGTGAGTGAAGTCGCAAACGCTTCACCAGTCCACGAGGTGGAAACTCTGGATATGTTGAATTATATATTGGATTGAGAACGCAATAAGCCATATCTGCAAAAAGCACTCGAATAAATAAATGTGAAATAAAGTTAGAGCAAATTCTTATTTGAAAATTTAGATCAGGCAAGAAATTAACACTGATAGCGAAAAAATTACTTTCACAATCCGGAGTGAATAATAAACGGCTATTATAAATGTCACGAATCCTCCGGATTAATGATTTATCCTCTCCCAATGCCGTATTTCCGATTTCCTTTGAGGCAATGTTCAGAACATCAGATACGCAGTGATCGGTTATTTTATTTATATTGAAATACCAAGAAGTTGAACCAGAACCTGAACTACTTAGCGCCTTTTATCAAATGAATCTTGATGAAAAGCAGTTGTAAGCAAAATATAAAACATACTGCACTGAAGTCTCAGTAATATTGCGGTAGAGCATATAAAAAGTAAAAGGAAATGGAAAATTGTACTGTTTTGTATATAATCACTTCCCAACAGTTGCTATTCACTACCCTGACCATCCTGAATTTAAGAATTGATCTTTCAAATTGGATAATGCGTTGTGTCTTCCATTTGGAGTTTGGAGTATTGCAAAAAAATTTTAGAATTTTAAAAAATCAAAAACATTGCAAAAAATGTTTACTAGCTCAAACCTGTACATACTATAACACCGCTACTTTTTTGCTTAACCATTTCACCATCACCACATTGAATTTCATAATAAGATACACGAGATGACAGACTTTCTCCAATAAAAACGTCATTTAAAGCCGGATCCGATAATACATTCACATGTCTTTCAGCACTGTTTGCCGACTTTCTCTTTGACTTCAGTATTTCCCTAAGATGATGATTAATAAACTCAATAAGACGAAATATCATTTGAAAGCTAAAAAAAGTTGAGTTTGAATTCATCAAATTACTAAAAAGCAATATGAAGATGTGAACGAATAATACCCCGTGAAGAAAAATCTCAATGGAAAAGTAGCAAAATGAAACATAATCTGTAACAAATAAATTATACTACTTTTTCAAATTATGAAAAGGTAGCTGTTCTTCATGTAAATAAAATGGTTCAATATCTCCAATATCACCTTCCAAACGTACGCGTATACGTTGTCGATATAACCACCTAGAATTAGTACTTTCATGAAATAAAATTAATATTTTTAACTTCTGATTCTAAAAAAAAATTGTAGCTTGCTTCAATTGGAACCTGATATGTTATTTTTCAATTACAATTTCTTTGTTAAGTGCAAAACACAAAGAGAAGGGCGAACTTTTTTTATTCACTGCTCTATAATGAACAGGAGATATAAAATGAGAGCAGAATTTCTCAAATCGTTTTATCAAACGATACCAAAATCTTAAAATTTATAGAATACGAATGAAATAATGTGCAAATGAGCGAATTTTCGAAGTGTCATTGGAAGGCTGACCGTCAACATCGCATAATCAATAATTAGCGCCCTATATTAATTTCTCGATGAAACAAAGTATAAAAGAATTGGCTCCAAAAATAACACTTCTTCAGCGTACCTAAAATCACCCGCAAGTAATCGTTTCAAGGCATCTCTGAAATATTCGTGCGACAGTTTCTTCAGCAAACAGAGATGGCCCTCTGAGCTAAAATTGGAATCACTGCTCTGGATATAAAAATTTTTAAAGATGTAAAGAATTAATAAGTACATCATATATTTTAATTTTATGTTAGCTTATAAAGTACAGAATCACTTCGTATAAATTTTTTTCATAGAGTCTGAATTTGGACCCCAAAGATTCATCTAAACCTATCCATCTGAATCATCCTAGACTATTACTTTTTAAAGAGCGATATAGTTTTTCAAATTGTAATTTGTAAATTGAGAGGGAAAAAAGTGAACCACACTGAAGTTTATCGCCATTAGCCTCAACGGAAAAATTACAAAATTTTAACCCCTTAGGATCGGTATTTATCCCTATTACAGGTTTTTCCGTTGATGAAATTCTTGAAGCTGCATGCAGAAACGTGCCATCACCACCCGCAGAAAATACAGCATCAGCCCATGAAACTGCAGCATTATTGTAGTCAAACCGCTGTACAGTTCGAGTTTCGATACCACATGCTCTGAGAGTACTATTAGTGATGAGCAAAACAGTCACACAAAACACCCACACTTCCACGAAATTCTTCCAAGAAAAAAATCCAAGTGGAAAAAAACTTATAATTTTGTATTAAACTCTAGCTGAAAAGCGATCCACAAACCTTAGTTCACATACCACGATATTTAAAAACTGGTGGTGTTCGTCATGCCGCCTTCGAAGCCTCTCATAATTGGATCCTCGTCGTGCCAACTTAAAAAAAAAGATGTAATTTTACAAAGCACAAAAGAGTGGTACTTTTTTTTAAATATAGAGAAGAAAAAGAAAAACTTCGATGAACAAATAAACTGTACCGCCTTTTTCAGCTCAGTTTCATTAAGAAGTGGATGAGTTTGCCTCTCATATTCCAATCGTGTTAATTTCGACAAAATCAGAATCTTCCTAGGTTTAAAAACACACTGCTGGAACATCATAAATTAATTTTGTAAGTTGCAAAATGTCAATAAATACAAATGAATGCAAGCAGTTGAAATAGTTCACGTATGCATATGACCAAAAAATATCACCAGTAGAGGTAATAAAATAATAATTGACTGAAAAGTTCAAAAGATTGTCATCTATTAATGCTTCTTCAATTCTACTAACATCAATGAAAAATAAGAAACCTTCTCAGTTCCGGTAGAATTATCGCCGGTCTGAATTTCTGTCCCTGCTACAGTACTACATGTGTGATGCGTTGCAACGATATTATCCATGCTGGTGGCAAAAAGCGGAATTGCAACGGTATGCGCCAGCACTGAATTACTGGTTACCGAAAATTTCAGCATAACGCGTTTCATTTGTTTTCAAAATAGTTTTAAAAGCAGACGATTGCAAGAGCGGTGCGTAATAGCGTAAGTGCAGTGAAAGTGCATGTTGTAATAATTTGTTGCTGCAACTAATTCGCCTTTATTAATGATCATAAAAGGTAAAGCTACATGATAAACAGGATGATAACATCAAACGGTCCAACATTCACCACAAAAATGTGATTCGCGGATGATTTCCACGGAAATCCTCCTAATATGGAGAGTGGGAGGAGACTGCGGAATCTCAGAAGCACTGATGATTTCTCCCAAGGCACGGATATAAAAAGAATTCCATTTAGCAATATGAAATCAGAAGAAGTGATGCAAGCCACAATTTTCGTATTAGTCATTGATCAATAAATCAATGTCTCATTCTTAATCAGTCATAAATGGAAGGATTCGAGAAGGTTAAACAATTGCAATGAAGCAATAATATCTATTTGCAGTTGGCGACACCTCTCTACTCGCATGTTATTGTAAAAGGTAGAAAGGAAGAAGAAAATGAACCAAAAAAATAGGAATGATTGATTGAGAGAATTCCAAATTTAAAGGCCACTTGTCACTTCATTGGGTGACAGAAAGATGAAAATGCAGGCGAGAAAGGGATATAAAAAAAATGCTAAAAATTGAGCGTAGAGATGGAAAAAGGGATCGATATACATAGGTATTGCAGCTAAATGAAATTGTGACACAACGCAGACAGGTACTGCATGCATGAGTAGGGATGAATTCACTGGGACGAATGTTCTGAAGCTGATCATTTCCGGATATCACATAACATTACAAACGGAATCGGAAACCCGCTCACGCTTACATCTATCTCCCGGTCGCTAACGTTCCATCAGTAAATCATTGACAATGATCTTACTTTTTATGCCTTCTTCTCCTTCCTCTTGTCGTTTCATCTTTTCACTCTTCCTCTTTCTCCTTCTCCTCCAATATTTTCGCCTTAATAGCATTAAATGGTCTGCAGACATTGAGTATAAGCTTGGTTGACCTGTGACCTGTAACTTTTTTCCATTCGTAAACTAGATCACCTATCCCTTTCTTACACTCAAATTATCATCCACCACAGTACGGTTCACTGCATGCAGCATTGTCTCATTGCATGCAATCATTTACTGCAACTTTGAATTATCACAAATTGAAAAAAAAATTTTAATTACTTTTGCAAAGCATATAAAATATTCATTGTTATGATATTGCAACATTTATTAGAAAGATAACGTGGGGAATGGCTGCACAACGAATGACCAACAATTCAACGTCTCAATCGGCGCTCTTATTAAAAAGGCAACTTCGAGGTTTTAATTAATGGGATGATAGTTTTAGAAAGAGAGGCACACAGAGAGAGAATTCAAATTAAAATTTTTTTATTTGACTTTAGGTTTTAGAAATTAAAAATTTCATAATTGTTAGACTGCTTTGAAGTTTCAACACACTTTAATAAAAATCTTTTATGATCTCCTGATTTGGTACTCGACGGTTTTTTGTAAAACTTTAACATTTTATTACGATGAGCTTCAATGATAGCGCAGTCGTTATCTTTTTATATGTCTCAAATACTTTTATCCAGTTGTATTATCATTAGAACGAAATAGAACAGAAAATATTTTGGAGGTAAGTTAAAAAATCATTGATGTGGAATTGAAACTTGTTTGTTTATAGATTTGAAACGATCACCGGTGGAAGGATTCTCAGCTGGTCTTCGTGGTGACGTTGAAGATATTTACAAATGGGAAGTGGTGGTACTTGGACCACCGGACACCCCGTAGTAAAATTACCTCTAATTTTTTGATAAAAAAAAAGGGGAAAAAAGAATATTTTGTTTTTCTCTCTTTCCTAACTTTTCTTCAGCAGCATCGTTCAATTTTTTTTGTTTTTTGAAAAATATTTAATGAAAGAAAAATTTCAAGTATTCATAAATTCAATGCCATATACCATTAAATGATCAAAGTAATTCACGATTTTCCACAAAATATTTGAGACTTCGTCATATCAAAAAACTTTCAGCGAAGGTGGAGTATTTCGTGCTACACTCGATTTCCCCGTTGATTATCCGCAACGACCACCAAAAATGCGATTTATATCGAAAATCTGGCATCCAAATAGTAATGAATGCTTCATGGATTACACACTGTCCAGGAATTGAATTTCGAATAAAAATTTGAAAAGCCAACTGAATAAGCATTTAGAAAGAAAGTTTGCTATCTGGTGAATCATATTAGAATCATAATTATTGCATGAATTATTTGGCTTATTTTATAAAGTTTCAGTAGACGTTGATGGGAACGTTTGTATATCAATCCTTCATGAGCCAGGAGATGATCGTTACGGTTATGAGAAACCGGAGGAACGCTGGTTACCAGTTCATACAGTAGAAACCATTTTGCTATCAGTCATATCTATGCTTACCGATCCTAACTATGAATCACCTGCTAATGTTGATGCTGCCGTATGTTAATATATTTTATGATATATGAAATGCAATTAATAATGGTTCTAATTTTCACTTAATTCTTGGCCATTTTTAAATTTTCAATTTCTTCATTTTTCCCTCTAATATTTCCTATTAGCTTATAAATGAATTCTTACATTATACTATACCGAATGCTAAGCGATGGAACATTTTGCAAGCAGATATTTCCCATAATATTTCAGAAAATGCTGCGTGAAAATTATCCAGCATTTAAAAAGAAGGTTGCTGAATGCGTGCGCAGAACTCAAGAAGAAACTTAGTGACAAAATTCTTTTTCCATATCAATTGTGATATTTTAAAACATTTGATGAAATTTGCAAAATTCGCTGTGCAACGACACTGAATATAAACTTGGATATTAATTTTATAAATTTGAAATTGTGTAATTTCATAACAACATGACACACATGGATCTTCTTTTCTTTTGCATATCCACTCCAATCAGTTCATTCCAAACAGCTATTTTCTTTAATTTTCTTTAATTCCATTCAAACTGCTTCAGTTAAAAAAAAAATCAAAATCTTGCATGCTCAGTTTTCCGTATCAATTAGTTATTCAGATAGTATATGAAAGGAACAAAATTAAATTGCAAGCACTCTTATTGCTCTATTTATTTTTAGCACTTTAAAAATTATCGAGCATAATGTACGATTACTTAGGTCCCAATAGTATAAACTGATTTTAAAAATTTGCTAATGAAGGAATATAACCTGTTTCATACAATTTTGAAAAGTGCAACGAGGAAGAAGAGATGGAGGGAAGTTATGTACATGTATTTGCAAGATGGACGACGAGAAATCTTTTTAAAAATTAAAATGAAAACAGGCTAAAGAGGAGGAAAGTATGAAATATGATGACAGGTGGAAGCAAGCTACTGTTGTTGTAGTAATAGTGTTGGGATATTGGTCGACATGCATGGAAGCATCATTACAAATGCTAAAAACACGTTTTGTGTGCATATATTAAAAGAAGGAAGAAAGAAAATGGTAATCTCTGCCTAAATTTACCTTTCACCGCCATCTTCAACGTTAAAGAAAAGCTACGGCAATAACATCATTTTAATTTAGAAGAAATTTTAATAGAATTAAGTGGAAGAAATAGAGAAAGATGAATGAATTTGACTGTATTTTTGTTGTTCATCATTATCGGCGAAACAAGTTGTTCAACGCTTTCATTAAATTTCTCTTCAAAGTTTTTGAAAAAGATTGCTTTGGTAAAAGGATGAAGTTCTAGAGGTTTTTGGAAGTTCATCATATATGTTAATACAGTAATAGTAGTAGTTCACTTTATCTTTTAAAATTTTTAAATGAAGAAAAAATTAAGAGTTAACTGACTGTTGTCATAAGTTGTTGAAAAAAGAAGAAACATTGAAGAAGAAGAAAAAGAGATAAAACACTGATGCTCGAATGTTTCCACTTCTTGCCTTCATGTTATCAGGTAATTTTTACACCTAATATAATAATACTCAAATACAGAATTTAAATTTCATCACATAAGTTATGTGTTTGCCTAAAAATCCCTTTAAAAAATTATCATTTCTAGGATAAGTAATGTTTTTTCCTACAATTAATGCTTCACTAATTTTCCAACGTGGTATTTTCTTAATAGAATATTTCTGTTATCAATAATTTTATTCCGGTTATTTGTCAAGTAAACGAAAAAAATAGGAAATATAGGTAATCATCCGATTTTACCACTTTTTTATTTATCATGGATTTTCTCCAGAATTTGTATTGTGTTTCATTGGAAAACAAGAAAAATAATATAAAACAGTAAGAAATGAAATCAAATAACAATTAGAAGATTAAATTTATTTACAGGTGCAGTGGGCCAGCAGATCTGGTTCATGCCGCCATCAGAATCTCAAAGCCGACAATTGCAAAACTATTCGGTCTTCAGCTTTTCAAAAGCATCAATATCACAGCAATCACAAATAAGAAACCGCCCAAGAAATTTTCAAAAAACTTTATTTTCGATTCATGAGTCTCATCAACAACAGCCACAACAACAGCCACAACAACAGCCACAACAACAACAACAACAACAACAAC